AGTGACGAGTTTTGTCTAAAGCTTTTTTAATTTCATTTGCTTCTACAGTGTTTGCTAGTATAACTAGTCCCTCATTATATGAGCTAAATTTGTTTTCTCGAAAACTGCTCATATGGTGAAAACGTGTGTAATGGAATGTAAATTCCCATTACTGCCCGTGTTACAACCTCTGACTGATTCTGGAACTCAAAAATGTTCCTTCAGACCCCCCAAACTTCATCTGGTTAATTTCTGATTAATTGCTCGACTTGCATCTTTTAAGTCATCAGCTGATGTAAAAACCAGATAGGAAGACAGTACACTCGTGCTCATTTACAGTACAGTAGTTACATTGTTACAGTTGTTAGTAAATGCACAATCATTAGGTGCTGTCCTATAGTACTGTACAGTATATACACTTAACACACACAAGCCTTTATTATAGAAAAGCTTTGATAGAAATTCTAGAGGGCGCTCATATAGCAAGGAATTACTGTATTCCTAATTTGGTATCATCTGCAAATGTACTGTTCTGGAATGTAGAACACTGATATAAATTAGGAAGAGCAGTGGTCCTAGTACAGATCCTTGAGGTACTCCACTAGTTACATCTCCACAGTTTGGGTATTCACCCCCTTACCTGTACCCTCTGGTTTCCATTTATTAACCCATTCTCAGCCCAGACACTGGCATTTCCCCCCAAGCCAACAATCTGACTCTTTCATGAGACACCTTCTGAAAAATCAAACTACATCATGTTAGACTGTATGTCCTGTGTGTGTCCAGTACTGCTGCTGCCTGTTCAAACAATGGTAACAGGTTGGTTAGGCAAGAGCTACTCTTTCTAAATCCATACTCGTTATCCCCAGGGATATTACTGCCACGTAGGTATGTCTCTAGTTTTGTTCTAATAGAAGGAAACCGCACTGCCAGCCACGAGACTTTTCAAAGCTTCTTCTGCCCCTGAGTAACGTGGCTGCAAGACACAAACCTGCCAGGGGGCGACGTGTGTATGGCATTGGGCAGGAGATGTCTTTACATTTTGTCACAGTCTGAAAAATGTGGAGTCCATTTTGTGCTGTGTTGAAAGTTTCTGAACCTCCTCCCGTTTGCTGGTAGGATCTATTATTCTGTTACGTTACATTTAATTCATATGTTACATTCTCTTACATTATTCTGTTAAAGAGAAATGTAAACAAAAACAACCCAACATCTGTGTGTTTTTACAGGGTTTACATGTTTAGAACCCTGCAGGCCTGTGGAGGAAGACCAGCAGAGAGAGCAGCCGGCACCCAGATGAAGACAACACTGGAAACGTTAAAATGCGACTCCACAACACAGAGTGGCTGCAGAACGTCTATGTGCTAGTGTTAGATTCTGCACAGGGAGATGGTTCACAAGTCACCCTTCCATTTTCTAACTGCTTCTTCATGCTCGGGGTCGCAGGGGGAGCCAGAGACTCTCACAGCAACGACAGGAACAA